TAGATTTTCTTTAACTAGCGCTGTTGCTAGAGTAGCTAGCCTCGATCCTATACTACCTCGATCCCACTCCTCGTTTCTTATCGCTCTCTTATCGCTACTAACAAAACCGCTCGATCCTACTAGGATCAAGCACATCCTCTCAGGTAGGGTAGGTGCATCTGCAGACTTATAAGCCTTGATCTTATGTCCACGACAATCTTGTTTAGCGATGCGGTGAGTACGTCGCCTCTAGCACTATTACATCCTAGGAGACTCTCTAGTCGCTTGAGCTCGCTTAGAATAGAAGCGCATTCTTGGGAAATCCGTGCGAGCGGAAGGTCGCTAGAGAACACCCTAATTTTCAATTCTTTGGCGTACTCCTCGGTGAATTCTGCAGCTCCGCTTAGAGCTTCTAGGCTACCAAGTATCTTCTCTGAGGTATCTGTCGAAGTGAAACGACCATTCAATCGCTCAGTGACTTGTCGTATCTCGGTGATGTGGTTGATTGTGATGTCTCTGCCTGCCGTGACATCGCCTTGAAACACTGCGCCACCCCCGCTATCCACAACTCGGTCCGGCGCGTCCATCCGAGCGATAAGAACCCAACTGGACTTTTTCGATCATTCGAAGAGATTTAAAATAGTAGTGGCAGACTATTGATCGTATCGGTGATGGTGCAGGTAGACTTTTGACGTTCGTCACAAGGTGGGGGAAGGCTCACATTCTCGCCTCTTGTTCAGCCAGCTTGGTCAGCACCGGTGCGGCTGATGAGGCGCAGATGGCAGTCAGCTTCCCGTCCCACATAGTACTCTGGATCTTGAGCGACGCAGTCAACCCCTAGCGCTGCCTGTGAGCTCGTTGTTCCTCGGAATTATACGACAATCCTGTACACCAGAGCAACCCCAACAACCAGCGCGAAGCAAGACTAGGCGACAGTCTGACTTAGTAGCTCTCCAACCTTTTAGGTTCGTTGTTTTCCACCTCAGTGCCAGGGTGCCAATTAGATAGCTGAGTTGGCAGCAGTGACGATGCGAAGACCAGGGATCTTCCACCGTCTCAAGTTAAGAAGCCGGGGAAAAGAGCCTTCCGAGAAGAACCTCTTCACAGCAGGCGATTATGGTCTAAAAACAATAGCAGAAGGACAGCACGACACCGCAGAGTAGGAAGATCCTACTACCACAATACACTACTTTGTTGACACATATCTCAGTATCGTGTTCGTCCATGGCCTCACAGGTGGTCGCGATTCCACCTGGACCTACAAACCCACATCGATCTTTTGGCCCCAAGATCTCCTCGCCAAGGATCTGAAAGATGTGCGCATCTTGACGTTCGGCTACGATGCAGATGTACTCAAGCTCCTTAACATCGCTGGTGGAAACACGGTCCGCGACCACGGAAAGTCTCTGGCGCAGGATGTCTCGCTACGAAGAGCAGAAACGAACTCGGTGCGTGAATAGTGACCGATTTTAGCCTTAGTCACTAATTAGTATAGATCGAACGTCCCATCATTTTCATAGCGCATAGCCTAGGCGGTTTGGTAGTAGAGCAGGCCTTGCTCATCTCCCGTGGTACTTCGCAACCGCACGTGAAGTCCCTTCTTCCTAGCACAGTCGCAATAGCCTTCATGGGCACGCCACACCTTGGCTCTCGCAAGGCAGATTGGGCGGCGCCGCTCACAGCACTGTCCAACCTCTTCCGCAAGACGAATAAGGACATCGTTGCAGTACTTGAGCCCGGATCAGAAATGCTATCAAATCTCCAACAGGAATTCCACACTATGCTCGAGGACAGACGAAGGAATGAAGGCAAGTGGCTGGAGATATTTTGTTTCTATGAGGAATTGTCATATCCGGGTATCGGCGATATCGTTTCTCGCCAGTCGGCCATCCTACCCGAGTATCCTAATGCTAGCATTCACCAAAATCATTCTGATATGACGAAATTCGGCGGCGTAACGGATCCAGGCTATGTCAGGGTGCGAGGACAGTTGTGGTTGTGGGTGGATGCCATTGATAAACGGAAGGGTGTCGAACGGGCGGAGGAGCACGTCGGGCAGCAAGTGTCTCACACATCCGGGGAAACATGTCCACCAGAACACCTCATCCAAACTCCACGACAAACACACCAAGACGAAACAGCATACGACCCGGTTCGTAACACAAGTACTACTGCATCACCTAGCAGCGGTGGTGGCAGAGTTGCTATCAGTCAATCAGTCAGTTGTCAGTTCATCTTTGCGGTTCAAACTGTCAGTCTGGAGGTAGTGAACTGACCTGATTGACTGCCAAGACATTTTTTAGAATCGCGAACTGAGACTG